TAACTTGCAACATATCACTGGCTGAGAGGCGATCTCTAGAGACAAAGAAGATTTGGTGTTGAGCTGGGGGACTGAGCTGAACAGAATTTAACTTACTTTTCCATGCTCTTATAATCATTTTGATTCTCTGCTCAATACTTACTTCTTTAATGTTTTTGCTCCTGAAGAAGAATGAGGTTGGAGGTAGAAAGGAATTTTGTTAAATTTTGGCATATTTTTCTGTAAAATTAAAAAAGGAGAAATCATTCCATGTTCTTTTAATCTTATATGAAGTACACTCATGTTCATATATAATGGGATTCAGAACATATCTGAAACATACAGAACATATAGGTAGTCCTCGACTTACAACTAGTTGCTTAAAGTTACAACAGACTTATTTTGGGGCTACTTATGACCCAGATTTGAAGTTCCAATGGTTGCCCCCTCCCAGTTATGCCAGTTTTGGCACCTCCAAACTGGCACTTCTGGTTTTCAGCAAAACTGCACCCGTAACTAACCATTAGTTTGCTTAATGACCATGGTTTTGCTTAACGACCACAGATTCGCTTAACAACCACTGCAATAAAGGTTGTAAAATCAGGTTGGGTCATGTGACTGACCCATTTTATGACAGTCACAACTTATGACCATGATGGGCAGGCTCTATTACAGTTGTAAGTCAAGGATTACCTGTATCAGAATGTATCTGATACAGTTTATAACCTGTATTTAGTTAGCAACTAAATTATAACCAGTTTAGGCATAAGCACTGAGACTGGATTATCTTGATCTCCAATTTCCTCTTCTGGTCTTAATATCTTACTCAAATTCTAAGCACATCAAATATTCTCCCAAGAATTTCAAGCATCTCTCTCAGGTGGGCATGGGAAAAAGATATTAGGAAAATTATTGAATGAGTTATATAGTGCATTACCAAACAAGCTTTTTGGAATGTCTAAAGTCATTGATTAAGCAAAAGAACATTCTGGAGAATTCCAGAACAAAACAGGTAGTCCATGCTGTTCCAGGATGGTTTCCGGAAGCAAATCCTTCAATGATGGCTTGGAGTATTAACTTCGAGAAACTACTGAATTGTCTTGCAGGTTAACATAGTCCAGAAAGAAATTTTCCAGAATGTTCTGCTCCAAGTCAGATAAAATTTGCAACTCCCTACTAGATATTAAGTAAATCTAAGAGACATATATTTAAAATTGTATTCATAGTAAGTGTGTTCATTAGAAACCATGGTTCATTTTAAAAGGTCCCTTCTTCATCACAGAATTAAAGGAAATTAAATCCCATTAAAATAATCAGGTGTGAAATCTTTTAAGTTTCAGAAATTTTTGAAACTTAATCTTTGATGTGATTATCTCAAGATCCATTTATAACAGAGGGAAGCAATTTAATACTCTTCAGTTATTTTAGTCCCAGGGATAATGCCTAATGGCAAGGAATTGTGGGAAATATAGTCCCAAAGAGGCTGGAGATCAGAATATTTATCCCTGTGTCATTATAATGGCATCTGGCAATTAATGTCCTCAGCAATCAACATTTTCATAAAGAAAATAAAGTTATTCTAGACTCGCTTTCTCAGCACACTTACATCCACAGTGATGTCAATTACCCATTGTGGCACAGTTTCATTAAGGAGCATGGATTCAGTTTCACCACCAGAATCCCGACACAGCAACCTGTATGGAAAGAGATTGGAAAGGTGGTGTTAGGTACACTGAAGGGGGGGGGGGGGAACCTCTCCAAAACATAAATATATGAGGAAATGCAACAGAAAATGTCAATAAAATTTGAATGACAGAAAACATCATCTGTTCTTAGCGGTTCTGATATCCCCAAAGGTATAAAGACTATGTGTTGTGGTAGGCTGTGCAACCTGGGTCTACAGTGCCAATATATATGGAAGACATGCTGTTGGAGAAGGATGACTTTTCAATGTATTTAGGTCAATGCAGAGTACTTCATATATATTGTGGTTAAAATACAATACAGCTAGTCCTCAGTTTACAACTGTAATTGAGCCCAGAATTATGATCATAAATAGTTGCAGTCACTAAACAGGTCACCATGTGACTATGACTGATTTTACCACCATTTTTGTGGTGGTTGTTAGCAAATCCATTTTATCCAATGGTCATTTTTTGATGGAAACTGGAAGTAAATGCCAGAAACTGGCAAAAAACACCAAAAATCATGGTTATGTGATCACAGGAAGCTGCAAGTGGCCATAACCATGAGCCGGTTGCAAAGAGCCCAAAATGNGTCAAATCACCCCCACTTTTCCATATGAAATGCTTGACAGTTCGAAGGTCCATATTTGGATCCAAAACCTGTCATATAAAATAATTTAGATTTAGGGAATAATATACTCCAGCAGATGACGTGCATGCCTTGTTCTTAACTTTGTTGGAAGCCTGCAACTTTCTCTTCCAATAGCTAATGCAAGCTTGAGGAACACACTCAAAATAAGTAACACGGTTTAGCTTGTGCACTAAAAGCATAAATCTAAAAGTGTCTCCAGTACAGTTATATCAGATAGCTGGACTTGTTCCCTTCACAATGAGATCCCTTTGTGAAGAAAACAGTGCAGTTTTGCTTGCTTATTGCTCAAGGAAATTTTGTCCTATACAGAAGAATTTCTCCTTTTCCATGAATTCTAGAAAAAATATAATTTCCAGAAAAGATATCAGACAATGCATTCCAAGTCATATCTACCCACTTAAGGCTTGAGGTAGTCTAATGCTCAACGCGAGATGAGATGTCCTGCCATTAAATGCAGAGTTTCTTAACTGTGGCCATTTAAAGATGTGTGGACTTCAACTTACCCAATTCCCCAGCCAGGATTTTAAAATGGCTAAGGTTTAGAAATATTGATTTAATGCAATATGTTTTCAACCTTTGGGGCAGGGAAGAACCCTTTGGGAACACCTGTTGAGTCAGTGTTCAAAACATCTGAAGTGAGGGCCACACAGGATGGACTCTGTAGTACCAACATGGACTCTGTAGTATTGTTAGTATTGCTAACCAAGATAATTATTTTGTATTTTAATTTGACTTATTTTTCTCTCTTTTTAAATGTTAATGGTTTATCAAACCATTGCAGACTGGAATGTAGAATGGATTGATAGCTTCTAACATTCCTAAACTGAAAGGATAAAAACTTTTTGTTCCCCAGGTCAGGATAGGATGGGATCGTGTTTGCTTTAATTGGATGTCTGGAGTTTGTCTTCCGGTATGAGAAAGCTTGCTAGCACTAAATGGTACCTGGTTTGTCTCTCAGTGAACTCCAAACAATCTTATGACTTTTTTCCCTCATTATCTTACACCCCTGCTTTCGTCAGACCTCATTTAAATGGACACACATGTAACATGTTTTGACTACATGTAACTGATTTCTTATGCAAGGGGGAGGTTACTTTTGTCCTGTCCAATCAACCTTTATCTCGTAATCTACTTTGATGTCTTAACTATAAAATGGAATGTAAGGTAGGTCTTGAGGGTCCCCCTATGAATGAGGGGGAATCCTTTTTAATCAGAATGTTCTGAATAAATCGTAATAAAATGATCTTCCTGTCTCGGTCTGTTTCATTGGAAAATATGCATGCTGAGGCACGAACCTAGAAGCCATATTTTGGCCCTCAGAAGTATACAAGGTAATTTACAAAGCTCAAGACCACCCAGCTTGTCTCTTTTTTTATACAGTACAATGTTTGAAACATTTAGACCAATGTTTCCCAACCTTGGCCACTTCAAGTTGTGTGGACTTTAACTCTCAGAATGCTGGCTGGGGAATTCTAAGAGTTAAAGTCCACACATCTTCAAGTTGCCAAGCTTGGGAAACACTGACTCATACTTTCCCTAGTCCCACCCCACCCTTTCTCTTTCTGTAAGCTCAAAATTGCATACCTGGTCTTGACACAAGAGTTCAATCTTCTCCTCTGCTACAACTGTGATGTCTTCCTCTTTTTCTTGTTCCCCAGCTTTTTCATTATTGAAAGAGCTTGTCATCTGAGACTCATTGTCTAGGTTTATTATTTTTTCGTAAACATGCTCCATCACCTTCCTAACTTGCAACATATCACTGGCTGAGAGGCGATCTCTAGAGACAAAGAAGATTTGGTGTTGAGCTGTGGGACTGAGCTGAACAGAATTTAACTTACTTTTCCATGCTCTTATAATCATTTTGATTCTCTGCTCAATACTTACTTCTTTAATGT